ATTGGTGCTGGCCGGGTCCCCAGACCGACCCAGCTGCGCTGTTTTGCGTCGTTTTGAATCCTATGCCCGTGGTTTATACGGCCGTCTGACACATTGCCCGGCTAGGTGCTCTACGACCGCGCCAAGATGTACCTTAACCTCTGAGGACTTTTAAGGACCGAGAGTGCCTCTTTGACTTTGAGTCATGTGCTTCTGTAACTGCCAATATCTTCAAGTTGAGTCTTTTTTAATCACACCTCGCCTTAACATCACATCTCGTCTGTCTAGTAGCGAGGTCTTGAAGTCCTCAATGGCCGAACTAGCCGAAAGATGTCCGAAATTGTGCGAACTAATAACGAACGCTGGTTCCGAAATGTGTAGAGCCAGGCAAGATCAAATCGGTTTGTCCCACCACCTAGCGCCAAACTTCGATCGAGGCTCGGTGAAAGTATGAAATCCCGGCCGCAGATCCAGACGTACCAGGAAAGCTTCGCCGCATCACCAGGCTCATGCGTACGTGTATCTGTATCGGCACAGCATCCGTATGTCATATATACAATTGGTAGAACTGTACAAGACAACGAACTATATACACATCCATCCATCCATCCATCCATGCCTGCATTCGCTTATGTACACACATTTCTTACACAGACACACACACACACTCACGTATGCCACGCACATACTTGACTACGTGCCTGCGTACCTGCCTTCCTCGCCATACAGGTGTACATGCAGACGCATCTCCACATAACCTCTACCCGTACCTCCATCTTTACCTCTCTGCCTTTACCCTCACCTTTGCCTCTACATGCATCTGTATCTTTACTTGTACCTGTACCTGTGCGTGTAGCTGTACCTGTACCTCCACCTTAACCTTAACCTTCACCTAAACTTTTACACTACACTTCCGCATTGCGCCTGAATGCTACATTTCACGACGTGGCATGACATTTACGTGGCACTGCATGGCATTACATTACGTGTCGTTATGCTACATGACATCACACTACATGACGATACATTACACTGCGGTACGTTTCTTTACAGTATAATGCATTGCATGACCTGTAAACTTACGTGTGCACAGTTACATTTGCCAAGACATTTAACTGGAATCTTTTCCATTCCAGTTAAAGTGCAACACAGAACAGCACGACACAGTACAGTGCATTACATTACATGGCATTCCGTTCCATCCCGCTCGATTAGATTCCATGATCTTACTTCAACTTCTCTTGCAGCACATTGCATTACATCACATGGCATTATATGCGTCAGAATACGTTACATCACGTTTACATCAACTTACATCACCATCCCTTTGCAGTGTTCCATGTTTTGATCACAGTGGTTTACGTTAAATCGCATCACCGTATTTCTCATCATATCACTTTACATACACCACACACCACAATACACGCCAGTACACTGCATTAATCTTCGTTGCACTACATTGCATGCCATGACATGAATTGGCATGACACGGCATAGCAGACATGACTTGACAAGATGTTACGACATGACATGAACTGGCACGACATGATGCGACATGACTGTGACACGAAAGGATGGGGCATGACACGACGAGCAATGACCACTTCAGATGTCGTGATACTGTGCTACTTAACATTACATCACATTGCATTGCTGTGCGTTCCGTTCCATAGTGTAAGGTACAGTATAGTACCTTACACTCCACCACAACAGACTGCACTACCCTAGACCACAACTACATGATGTTACAGTACACTACATAGAGTTTCGCTACGTTGCTTTGTACAGACATGTCCGTATTTGTATGGTCATGTTGTAGACACGACGTTTTACACATACATATATGCACCTTTGCACACATTTGTATCTCTTTACCTATATCTATATTATATATCTAAGTCTATATCAATATCTGTATCTATACCTATATCAATATCAATATCTATGTATCTATATATCTATGTAGCTTTATATCTGCATATCAATTATTCTGCACACATATGCAACTGCATATCAAAATATATCTATATATATATATATATATTTATGTATATGTATCTATATATGTATGTATATTTACATATCTATAGATCATCTATAGACCTCTTTATCTTTTTTCCCGTATATATATTTACACATGCACACACACACACACATACATGTGTACGTTTGTATGCATGCAAGCAAGCATGCATGGATGGATGGATGGTTGATCTATATATATATATATACAAATGTACGTCTCTTTGTCTGTCTGTTCGTTTGTCTGTCTGTGTGTATGTATGTATGTATGTATGTATGTATGTATGTATGTATGTATGTATGCACACTCATATATATATATATATGTATAAAAGTACATGCATACACATGTATGCACTCAAACAAGGTACATTAACGAGCGATGCTGCGCAGGAGCGAGCAGGCCCAGCGAAGACCCGACGCTTGGGCTCTGCTAGGACCGAAAGGTGGTGCAGCTGTGGGGGTGTGAGACTCGCGCGCATGGGCGCGTCCTGCAAACCTCCTGTTTCGACAGCTCAAGCGGGGTGTCTGTTTCAATAGATCGAACAGAAATTATCTTCGTCCTGAATGAGGAATGAGTTGCTTCGGCAGTATTGTTCTTGGAGCTGTTCCGCCCCTGCTCTTGATTCTAGATTCACCCATTGTGAAAGCCAACGAGAGCAAGCAATGATTGACCTGTCGAGCATGACTTCAGTGACGCATCTTTTCCGCTTCTCGCGATGTTGTCGCTGAGCTGTGTCCGACTTGATCTCAGCAGGAAAACGCGGTATCTTGGTTGTTCGAAGCTGCTGTTCCGTGTTGCCTGCATGCGAGAATTTACAACAACTTGCAAGCGGGAGCTGGATCGATGTCGACATAACTTAGGCAGCACAGCAGGGAATCACTGCGTGGAGTTGGCTACCATCCATAGCATTGGCCCGAGTTTTGGCAATCCCCTCGACTAGGCAGACACGTTGACTTCTCGCCCGCCATGGCAGGGAAGGACAGCAGCATGCAGGCGTTCGTGATGGACTTCATGCTCGGCGGCGTGTCTGGGGCAGTGTCGAAGACGCTGACTGCCCCGATCGAGCGCGTGAAGCTCGTGGTGCAGACGCAGGATGCCAACCCGAAGATCCGCAGCGGGGAGGTGCCCCGCTACACCGGCATGGTGGACTGCGCCCAGCGCATCATGAAGGAGCAAGGCTTCAAGCGATTCTGGGACGGCAACCTGACCAACTGCATCCGCTACTTCCCGACCCAGGCCTTCAACCTGGCCTTCAAGGACACGTTCAAGAAGATGTTCCCGAAGTACAACCCAAAGACCGAGTTTTGGCAGTTCTTCGGCGCCAACCTGGTGTCGGGTGGTTTGGCAGCCGCCGCCAGCATGACCATTGTGTACCCGCTGGACTATGCCCGGACGCGCTTGGCGTCGGACGTGGGGTCCGGCAAGAAGACCTTCAGCGGACTGGGCGACTGCATCATGAAGACTGTGCAGGGCCCCGGTGGCTTCTTTGCCCTGTACACCGGCTTCGGCGTGTCTGTGTGCGGCATCATCGGCTACCGTGGCTTGCAGCTGGGTACCTTCGACACCATCACTGGCCTGAACCCCTACAAGAAGGACAAGGGCATCCTGGGAGCCATCAGCACTTTCGGTGCGGCGCAGACGGCCATCACCATCGGTGCAGGTGCCACCTATCCCTTCGACACCGTTCGAAGACGCCTGCAGATGCAGTCCGAGAAGCCTCCTGAGGAGCACATCTACAAGGGCACCGCTGATTGCTTCAAGAAGATTGCCGCCGAGGAGGGCCGCGGCCCCAGCTGCACCACCAAGGGTCGCCAAAGGATGCCAAGGGCACAGGCAGAGACAGGCAGCTTCAGGAGCTGGCACCAGTAGGGTCTGACCTTTCAGAACTTCAGGCTTGGTCGCCGGCCTCTACAAGGGATTCCTGGCCAACGTCGTGCGCAGCGTGGGCGGCGCATTGGTGCTGGCCGGGTCCCCAGACC